AGGGGAGGACTTTGTAGAGTAGGGTAGATGGTTGGACTCGATGATCCCAAGGGTCTCTTCCAACCTAGACGATTCTATGATTGTATTAAGTATCTTCTTCCTGGTGCTTTCTCACTTCCAGAGAGGTCTTTGTAAAAGATGTGTCGGAGAAAAGTGCACAAAGTTTGAAGCGTGTGTACGTGTAGGAAGCTTTTTTTTTTTGGTCCAGTTATTACCTTACGCTTTGATGATGACCAAGCGCTAAAAGGAAGGTTGCTCCATCGCTCTGATTTTCCCCGTTAGGGTTATATTCAGCACTGGCTGCCAGCTTGTGACTTCACATCATGGGACATTTCTGCATACCTAGACCAGATGGAGAATTTCCTGTTTAAACTGAAATTTGGGCTAGCCCTGCCTTTCTGCACGTCATCAATAAAATATGTATATTTTTTTTTTTTTTTGCCTATTTATTGTATTAAGTATCTTCTTCCTGGTGCTTTCTCACTTCCAGAGAGGTGAAAGAGGGAGGACTTTGTAGAGTAGGGTAGATGGTTGGACTCGATGATCCCAAGGGTCTCTTCCAACCTAGACGATTCTATGATTGTATTAAGTATCTTCTTCCTGGTGCTTTCTCACTTCCAGAGAGGTGAAAGATGTGTCGGAGAAAAGTGCACCACTGTGGGAGACAGAATATGTGCTTGTCAATTAACCTGTCCCCTTTGTAGGGTCCCCTTTGTACCTTTGATGATGACCAAGCGCTAAAAGGAAGGTTGCTCCATCGCTCTGATTTTCCCCGTTAGGGTTATATTCAGCACTGGCTGCCAGCTTGTGACTTCACATCATGGGACATTTCTGCATACCTAGACCAGACGGAGAATTTCCTGTTTAAACTGAAATTTTGGCTAGCCCTGCTTCATGGGACATTTCTGCATACCTAGACCAGATGGAGAATTTCCTGTTTAAACTGAAATTTGGGCTAGCCCTGCCTTTCTGCACGTCATCTTCCAACCTAGACGATTCTATGATTGTATTAAGTATCTTCTTCCTGGTGCTTTCTCACTTCCAGAGAGGTGAAAGATGTGTCGGAGAAAAGTGCACCACTGTGGGAGACAGAATATGTGCTTGTCAATTAACCTGTCCCCTTTGTAGGGTCCCCTTTGTACCCCTTAACCTTTGTAGGGTTAACTGCTCTAAATTGCACTTTATGTAATAATTCATTATCATACAAAAGGAAACGGGCAGTCTATATGGAACACAATTTAGAACAAAAACCCTAGAGTTCTCATGAAAGTTCTCTATAAAACACTTTTGTAGTGAAATAATTATTTTTTTCATCTCTAGGAATTAATATCAAGTGTTGCAAATACAGATTCTCTCAGATATTAACAGTAGTTCTGGGAAGTCTGGTAGGAGGAGAAAATGGTATAGGTTTGACTCCATTCACCGAAAGAGTGGTCGGGCATTGGAACAGGCTGCCCAGGGAGGTGGTGGAGTCCCCATCCCTGGCTGTGTTTAAGGGCCGTTTAGATGCAGTGCTAAGGGACATGGTGTAGGGGAGGACTTTGTAGAGTAGGGTAGATGGTTGGACTCGATGATCCCAAGGGTCTCTTCCAACCTAGACGATTCTATGATTGTATTAAGTATCTTCTTCCTGGTGCTTTCTCACTTCCAGAGAGGTGAAAGATGTGTCGGAGAAAAGTGCACCACTGTGGGAGACAGAATATGTGCTTGTCAATTAACCTGTCCCCTTTGTAGGGTCCCCTTTGTACCCCTTAACCTTTGTAGGGTTAACTGCTCTAAATTGCACTTTATGTAATAATTCATTATCATACAAAAGGAAACGGGCAGTCTATATGGAACACAATTTAGAACAAAAACCCTAGAGTTCTCATGAAAGTTCTCTATAAAACACTTTTGTAGTGAAATAATTATTTTTTTCATCTCTAGGAATTAATATCAAGTGTTGCAAATACAGATTCTCTCAGATATTAACAGTAGTTCTGGGAAGTCTGGTAGGAGGAGAAAATGGTGTAGGTTTGACTCCAAGACAAAAAGTAAATTTCTGAGTTAATTTGGAATTGGGTATTTTATGAAGGAGCAGAGCCTTTACTGAATTGGTTTCAACTGCATTAAGCCTTCAGATATAAATTGTCTCTTAGCCAACCTCAATAGTGGCTCATAGTTTGTCCATCAGTAATGAAGTCTTTTTGCTTACAAAATGTTTTCAGAAATGTTTACTAAGGTGATTAAATTAAAATTTGGTCCTATTTATGACAGCATATGAAGTATATTTTTTATTGCCTTGTTACTCAAGGGATATAATTTATGTCTTACAATTGTTTTAAAGTCTTGACAGTGAAGTTGTAGTCCGTGAATATTCTGTGCTTTTATAATGCAAACTATTTACTAGCAATAATTAATTTGTTTCTTTCCTTTCTCTAGCATCTTTGAGGATGAAAGCATGAAACTACGGCAGCTGAAACTAGAGAATCAGGTAAATGATAGTGCTGAAGCTGGTAAAAATAAGTATAGGAAAACAAACATTAGCCATCTTATTGTAGGAAAGGAGGAGGTAAAAGTTTTCCTTTTTTTCTCTCTTCTCCTCCCTGTCCCCCCATTTTTCCTCGTGATGGCCTGGCTTCTGTTTGTCATCTACTTTGTGACTTGTTGCCCAGAGCTACAGAAGATATATTGCAGCAGTGAATCCAGCCCACATTCTTCAACTTCTGTTTTGATATGTGATGTCAAGGGAGACTTGAGAAATGGAGTTGAAGTGCTAAAAATGCCTGGTCTAAAGAATACAAACAAGAACTCAATGCTAACTTTTTTTCTTTAAAGATTTTCATGGTTTTGTTAGTTTAAGTCAACCTTGCTATGGCTTGTAGGCTTAATTTCTTTGATACATTTATTGTTCATATATCCTACTCATTTCATTGAGTCACCACAATGCAGGAATGTGTAAAAAGAGAGGAAAACTGCAGGAAATGATCCATTTTAAGAATCAAAGGAAAAGAAAAAAATTCACTGAGCTATAGAAAGATCGGCTTAACAATACTGTTGAAAAGAGTTTCCAGCTTCTTTTAACTTTTTTTGTTTCCTACAAAGAAAATATTTACAGCAAAGCATTTGTCAAATATTAAGTTGTAGGTCTCATTTTTTAAAGGGCTGTTTGCTGGATGCTAGCATTACAGTATTCTTCAAAGCAATAAAGTGTCCATCCTTAATATTCTTCCTCTCTGAAATTTAAATGCTTTTAAATAGATTAGAAGATATGAGATTATTGTGATTCTCTAGCTGGCCATTTCACAAAATCACTGCCTTGCATTAAATTCATCTGTGTTCAAATTAAAGTATGTTTTTTAGAAAAGCGTGCTCTCTGCTGGGGTTCTTTAAATCCAGACATCTTTAGGGAACTGTTGCAGTGGATAATAACCTTCTTCTCCAGAACTTGTTCATTATTTCTAGTCTGAGTTTTCTCAGCTTTGACTTCAGATGGTGGATTTATTACTAATGTAATACCTGAAATGCTTCAGAGTCAAAGAGTAAAATTTATCTTTGGTCATATTTGTGGAAGCTAGGATAATCCTTTTACCTGTAGACTATTCAGTAACATTTATTTCAATAAAAAAAAAAAAAAAAAGAAAGTGTTAGTTCAAGTAATTGGTAAAAAAGCAAATGCCACTCAGTAAGAAGTTCCAAAATGGTCTGACTGTTTGGTGATGAACGTCAGTGTCTGTTTCAGGAGTGTTGTCTTGGGTGTCATAAACCAGTTAGTAATCACTGACTGCTAGTACTAGGCACTGGGGGCAATGTGTGACTAGTTTCAGACCTTGCCATGGGGATCCACTGCAGTTCCACCAAAACAAAGCTGCTGTCAGTTGAGTTGTGAAGAGGGGAGTTTAAAGAATTCGTACCCTTTTGCGATTTTGTTTCAGGCTTTCTTGGATTTGGTTGAGGTTGTTATCACCTGCAAAACCAACAGCTGGAAAATTTCACTAAAATATATTTTTAACACCACCATCCTTCCTTGCGAATGAGATTTGTTGAGAAATGCTAAGTCTCTAATTTGGGATTGTATATTTAGGTTTGACTATTAACATAGCTTTTAACTCTTACATGAATAGTACCATGCCTTCTGAAGAAGTAGAGGCCAATATGAGATCACTGTCAGACATGATGGACTCATTGCTGGTTGCAATGGGTTAATTTATCCAAAGCATTTATAGTCATTGGGATAAAAAATACAAAATGTTTTAATCCAGCAGGATCATGTTTAGAATTTTTGGCCATACAGAGAATCTGAAATAAGCACTTGCCACAGCAAGTCATCCATCTTTATGATGGGTTTGGAAATGCTGTAATTGCAGTAAAATATTATTTATAATAGTGATCTGGGGGCCGGCTCAGCCTGCCAGGATGCTTTTCCTTGAGGAGTGAGTGTGTGGCTGCTCAGGCAGTGCTTACTTCCCCAGCAGTATAAGGTGTTTCTGTGTCTTTTGAGGCAGCTGCAGCTCAAAGTGCAATCAATGCTGCCATCTCCCTGGGGGTGGAGAGCTTGAAGCTGAGGGAGTATTTCTGAACTTTGACACAAAGTTTGGTTGATTGATATCATCACTACCATTGTCACTGCTGCCCCAGCATGAGCTAGAGTGGAGCTAGAAGAGTGGAGAGGATGCTTCAGAGCTAGGAGCCATCCCACGTGGCCTACTAAGGTAGGATCACGCCAAGTGAAATAAGTAGTTTGGTATTGCACCTTCAAGGGTGGAGTGGTTGGAACCTTCCTGTATACCATCTTCCTGTTCATCACAGTTGTAGAAAGAGTGCTAAACTTATTAGTCTTATTAGTCTGTTAGAGTATATTCATTGGATATGCTTGTTGGAAACTCATTAGAACAAGAGTTAGTGGTCTGTGATCCTTTAATCATCCTGTGTTCCAGTGTTGTGTTTTGCTGTGGTGCAAAGAAAATGTTTCTGAAAGTACTTAAAATATGAAGTTCGCAAAATCCTGAACAAATCATGATAATCTGTATCTGTTATTTATTTAATGGGTTGTGTCTTTTCGTGTCCTGTTCATAAACTATCTACATTTTTTATTGTAATATTAAATGAATTTTTACTGTAACATGGAGCTTGGTGAAAAGGCTAGTTAGTAGACAAAATGAAGCAAAATACAGTTTCCTTTTTTCTGCTTCATCTTAGTGGCATATGTCTGAGAATACTTAGTACTGAAGGTAAGGCTGCTCTGCCACCTTATGTAGGGAAAATGAACTGCTATTAACTGCCTTGTGAGTGGGTTTGTAGACTTTTTCCATCTCAATAAGCAAAGCAGTAGAGAGAAGCCTTTTTTTTAAAAAAACAAATAATTACTATCAAGTTTTGTCACTTTGATTATCCTGACATTCTTGAAAGAAGAAGGTTGGTCACTTCTACCAGCAGTAAAGTATATGTTTCAGTGTAAAGCAACGTGATCCTGTTGGACTGGTGAGTCCTAGAAGCTCTTTGATGAAACAGCTATGGAAGTTATGGTATCCTATATTGATCCCAAATTCAGCTTCCCATTCTAGCAGTAGCTGCATATTTTATTACTGTCTTTAGGATGTGTCTTTTGTTTTTTTCCTGTCTGTTTTTCAGGTAGAGAAGCCTTGACAACAATTCTTTTTTCAAATGCTTATTCTGAGTATATTGTTTTGATCCTTGTTTTCCCTCTCTACTTTTATTTAAACTATTAGAAATTTATAAATGTAATGAAAATTTTTACTTTTCCTCAGCATTAACAACACAAACTAATGTAAGTTCTTATGGAAGGTCTAATGTTCTTACTAATATAAGTTCTTATGGAAGGTCTGACTATGTTTCTAGCAAAAAAATTTTATCTCCAGTTAGCTTTTTCTAAGAATTTGACTTCTACTGCTTATTTTTCTTTTCTTGTTCTATACCAATGTGGTAATCTCTTTGGAATTCTGTGTAATTTTTGCCTTGCAGGACAATCCTTGCAAATAATTCTGCAGTAGCAAGCACTACCTGTCTTCAAAGTGTAATTATGAGTTTTATTTAAAATTTGACTCATCTTTTATTTCAAAAGGTTGTTTTGGTTTGTTGCTGTTCTTTGATTTGATTTTTTGGTGTTGCTTTGTTTTTGGTTTTGTTTTGTTTAGATGAGTGCTTAAAAAGCAGAAAGAATAAAGGACCAAAGGCTGAGTTGTGGTGGAATTCCTCATGGAGAGGTTGCCTGAGAAACTAACCTCACTTGAGATAAAAAGTCTAATAGGAGAGGAGAGAACCAACAAGAGAGAGAAAAAGCCTAACAGGAGAGGAAAGGGTTCCAAAGATGTCTATGTCTCAAGTGGTTTGAATTGTTTAGAATAGTCTAGGTTGGAAGGGACCTTAAAGATCATCTAGTCCAACCATCAACCTAACTCTGACAAAAAAAATAAATAAGAAATAAAAATCACTAAACCATATTCTTGAGGACCATGTCAACCCGCCTTTTGAACACCTCCAGGGATGGTGCCTCAACCACTTCCCTGGGCAGCCCATTCCAATGCTGGATAACCCTTTCCGTGAAGAAATGTTTCCTAATATCCAATTTGATAGACTTTTATTTAAGTCTAGGAGTTTCTATTCTCATTTAGTAGGAAATCATAAACATTTAACACATACGTATCTCAGGAAAGTAATGGTTTATTTTTTAACATTTGGATTTACCGTTCTTTCCTTTCAATTCAATCCTGAATTACATGCAAACATTTTTTAAGGCTCAGTCTTATTTTGATGGCTGTGGTTTTATATTTTCCCCCTCTGAGTCTTATCTCTCAATATTGGTTTCTGGGAACTATTTGCTTTGAGTTCTCCCTTATTAGATGATAGCTTTTGAGACAAAAGCCTTTTCCTTTGCAAGTCCTGACTGCTTTTGCTGCATTGTGACAGCACTTAAAACTGCACTGGCAGAGTGAGCCCTGATTAAGGATTTTTAGAAATGTTATGCTAATACAGTAAAAGACTTAATTGCTGCATAGTGCATAGGGTAAGGGCTATTGTCCCCCTGTACTGGGCACTGGTGAGGCCTCACCTTGAGTACTGTGTCCAGTTTTGGGCTCCCTACCATAAAAAAGACATTGAGGTGCTGGAGCGGGTCCAGAGAAGGGCGACAAAGATGGTGAGGGGTCTGGAGAATAAGTCTTATGAGGAGAGGCTGAGGGAGCTGGGGGTGTTCAGCCTGGAGAAGAGGAGGCTGAGGGGAGACCTTATTGCTCTCTACAACTACCTGAAAGGAGGGTGTAGAGAGGTGGGGGTTGGTCTCTTTTCTCAAGTCACAGGCGACAGGACGAGAGGAAATGGCCTCAAGTTGCGCCAGGGGAGGTTCAGGCTGGATATTAGGAAAAATTTTTTCACGGAAAGGGTTATCAGGCATTGGAATGGGCTGCCCAGGGAAGTGGTTGAGGCACCATCCCTGGAGGTGTTCAAAAGACGGGTTGATGTAGTGCTGGGAGGTCTGGTTTAGTGATGATGCTCCTTGTTTGTTGTGTGGGTGTCTATTTTTGTCAGTTAGGCTGACGGTTGGACAAGATGATCTTTAAGGTCCCTTCCAACCTAGAAGATTCTGTGATTCTGTGATCATCTTTGGCATTTTCAGGTAGTCTTGGAGATAGTTCACTTAATACAAAGTTAGGCTAACTGTGCAAAACAGGGAGAAACAGGGAGTTGTTGCCCTAAACAATGGAATATTTAGACCAGTCATAACGGCAGTGGAAAGCGTGGAGAGTCCTTGTGAGCTGTTCTGTCTATCAGCTTAAGTAAGCAGGATGCATGGAGTAATAAAACTGCGTGGATATCCTGTATTGGGTTATAAATGACTGGTGAATTTGGCTCTTTATATTAAGGATTGCTGCAGTTTAGACTGAATGAAAGGAGTTAAAATTTCCTGCTTATGGTCTCAGCCCAGAAAATAAGCAGGTATCTGCAGCACCCATCACTGATGAAGACTCAAAGACACAGTGATGTCTGTATCTCGAGTTTTTGTAAGAGACTACAAGAGTATCTCGGGTTCGTGGAGAGTCCTTGTGAGCTGTTCTGTCTATCAGCTTAAGTAAGCAGGATGCATGGAGTAATAAAACTGCGTGGATATCCTGTATTGGGTTATAAATGACTGGTGAATTTGGCTCTTTATATTAAGGATTGCTGCAGTTTAGACTGAATGAAAGGAGTTAAAATTTCCTGCTTATGGTCTCAGCCCAGAAAATAAGCAGGTATCTGCAGCACCCATCACTGATGAAGACTCAAAGGCCATGTCCCACTCCAAAGACACAGTGATGTCTGTATCTTGAGTTTTTGTAAGAGACTACAAGAGTATCTCAGGTTTATTTGAGATCCTGATGAGTGCCATGTCATTGCCAATGGCTGAGGCACGGTTTCTACCTCTCTGGATGTGGTTACTCATCCTTATTTCATGTTTTTCCTTTATTTCACAGAGAGCTCTTCTAGAGAAGAAGCAGAGGAAGAAACGTCTTGATCCGTTGATGGTACAGCCAAATCCTGAGGCAAAGCTGCGTAGGTCAAAGACCAAAGGGTGTGAGGAGCAAACTCCTTTAGTAGAAACTCCTGTTCCTTTCCACAGTGATGTTATGTTACATGGTAAGCAATCAACCTGATTGCAACGATGTTCCCCAAAATGCCAGTGCATGCATTTTATGTCACAGATGGGCACCTATATTGCTGTGACAGTGGTCAAGTGATACACAAGCTTGATTACACACCTTTCTTTGTACAAAAGTAGAATGCCATAAAGGCATGTGAAGATTCTCAGCTGTCACAAAATTCAAGGTAAAGTTTTTGTTTGGTTTTGGATTTTAGTATTGCTCATACATACTGTACTACAATTCTCAGCTGTCACAAAATTCAAGGTAAAGTTTTTCTTTGTTTTTGGATTTTAGTATTGCTCATGCATACTGTACTACAATTCTACTTTTGTACATAGAAAGGTGTGTAATCAAGCTTGTTTATCACTTTGAGTAATCTCTCCCTAATGTTAGGCTAAGAAGAACTGTAGAAATAGCTTAGGAAGTTCTATAAAGGTAGGAAGATACATATCCAAAGTAAGAGAGTCTTCTGAAGCTGTAGGATAAAGAAAAGGAAAAAATCCAGTAGTGACTCCCTGTACTTTTCTTCATGGTATCATGGTACGCTCCATTTCAAGATTGCATATGACTGAATGATAAAATAAGACAAGAGGAAAACAAAAGTCTTATGAATACTGAATTAGGTTCTTGCTGATTTTTACCTCATCTGTTGTTTTCTGTGGGCCTCGGGGAGCTAACTGAAACATGACAAACAAGCTGTGAATACTTTTGTACATAGAAAGGTGTGTAATCAAGCTTGTTTATCACTTTGAGTAATCTCTCCCTAATGTTAGGCTAAGAAGAACTGTAGAAATAGCTTAGGAAGTTCTATAAAGGTAGGAAGATACATATCCAAAGTAAGAGAGTCTTCTGAAGCTGTAGGATAAAGAAAAGGAAAAAATCCAGTAGTGACTCCCTGTACTTTTCTTCATGGTATCATGGTACGCTCCATTTCAAGATTGCATATGACTGAATGATAAAATAAGACAAGAGGAAAACAAAAGTCTTATGAATACTGAATTAGGTTCTTGCTGATTTTTACCTCATCTGTTGTTTTCTGTGGGCCTCGGGGAGCTAACTGAAACATGACAAACAAGCTGTGGTGGCCCAGAAAGTCACAAGCACAAAGTGGTATCAGAGCCAAAGGCAATATCTCAGTTGTTTCAAAACATTACAGTAAAATAGTGACCATTCTATTAGGAGTGAAAAGAAATAGAGTAGTGAGAGCCTTAAGAGTTCCATGTCACAGGAAGGGAAAAAGAGCAGCAATGAAACCCCTACATTCCAGTGGAAGGGTCAATACCACCTTTATATTAATAGTGAATTAATGTGTAGAGTAGAATTTTAAAACCCAAACAAACCAGTGTTACCTGGTTTTAAGATCATATTTGGAACTGTGTTATCCTCTCTCTTTTGAATATTTTTCTTGCTTGCCAGGAGCCTCTCAGGATCATAGGATGGGGAGGAGAGTGGTGATGTGTTTAAAATCAGGTGGGAGAAAACTTCTGTTAAAAGATACTTTTAAGTCAAAAAGAGAGTGAGAAGAAAGATTGATATAGCTTCTACAGTAGGGAACTTCAGTGGTACTGAAACTGCAAGAAAGAAAAAAGAAATCCAGTGGAAAGCGTGGAGAGTCCTTGTGAGCTGTTCTGTCTATCAGCTTAAGTAAGCAGGATGCATGGAGTAATAAAACTGCGTGGATATCCTGTATTGGGTTATAAATGACTGGTGAATTTGGCTCTTTATATTAAGGATTGCTGCAGTTTAGACTGAATGAAAGGAGTTAAAATTTCCTGCTTATGGTCTCAGCCCAGAAAATAAGCAGGTATCTGCAGCACCCATCACTGATGAAGACTCAAAGACACAGTGATGTCTGTATCTCGAGTTTTTGTAAGAGACTACAAGAGTATCTCGGGTTTATTTGAGATCCTGATGAGTGCCATGTCATTGCCAATGGCTGAGGCACGGTTTCTACCTCTCTGGATGTGGTTACTCATCCTTATTTCATGTTTTTCCTTTATTTCACAGAGAGCTCTTCTAGAGAAGAAGCAGAGGAAGAAACGTCTTGATCCGTTGATGGTACAGCCAAATCCTGAGGCAAAGCTGCGTAGGTCAAAGACCAAAGGGTGTGAGGAGCAAACTCCTTTAGTAGAAACTCCTGTTCCTTTCCACAGTGATGTTATGTTACATGGTAAGCAATCAACCTGATTGCAACGATGTTCCCCAAAATGCCAGTGCATGCATTTTATGTCACAGATGGGCACCTATATTGCTGTGACAGTGGTCAAGTGATACACAAGCTTGATTACACACCTTTCTTTGTACAAAAGTAGAATGCCATAAAGGCATGTGAAGATTCTCAGCTGTCACAAAATTCAAGGTAAAGTTTTTCTTTGTTTTTGGATTTTAGTATTGCTCATGCATACTGTACTACAATTCTACTTTTGTACATAGAAAGGTGTGTAATCAAGCTTGTTTATCACTTTGAGTAATCTCTCCCTAATGTTAGGCTAAGAAGAACTGTAGAAATAGCTTAGGAAGTTCTATAAAGGTAGGAAGATACATATCCAAAGTAAGAGAGTCTTCTGAAGCTGTAGGATAAAGAAAAGGAAAAAATCCAGTAGTGACTCCCTGTACTTTTCTTCATGGTATCATGGTACGCTCCATTTCAAGATTGCATATGACTGAATGATAAAATAAGACAAGAGGAAAACAAAAGTCTTATGAATACTGAATAAGGTTCTTGCTGATTTTTACCTCATCTGTTGTTTTCTGTGGGCCTCGGGGAGCTAACTGAAACATGACAAACAAGCTGTGGTGGCCCAGAAAGTCACAAGCACAAAGTGGTATCAGAGCCAAAGGCAATATCTCAGTTGTTTCAAAACATTACAGTAAAATAGTGACCATTCTGTTAGGAGTGAAAAGAAATACAGTAGTGAGAGCCTTAAGAGTTCCATGTCACAGGAAGGGAAAAAGAGCAGCAATGAAACCCCTACATTCCAGTGGAAGGGTCAATACCACCTTTATATTAATAGTGAATTAATGTGTAGAGTAGAATTTTAAAACCCAAACAAACCAGTGTTACCTGGTTTTAAGATCATATTTGGAACTGTGTTATCCTCTCTCTTTTGAATATTTTTCTTGCTTGCCAGGAGCCTCTCAGGATCATAGGATGGGGAGGAGAGTGGTGATGTGTTTAAAATCAGGTGGGAGAAAACTTCTGTTAAAAGATACTTTTAAGTCAAAAAGAGAGTGAGAAAAAAGATTGATATAGCTTCTACCAAAACATTACAGTAAAATAGTGACCATTCTGTTAGGAGTGAAAAGAAATACAGTAGTGAGAGCCTTAAGAGTTCCATGTCACAGGAAGGGAAAAAGAGCAGCAATGAAACCCCTACATTCCAGTGGAAGGGTCAATACCACCTTTATATTAATAGTGAATTAATGTGTAGAGTAGAATTTTAAAGCCCAAACAAACCAGTGTTACCTGGTTTTAAGATCATATTTGGAACTGTGTTATCCTCTCTCTTTTGAATATTTTTCTTGCTTGCCAGGAGCCTCTCAGGATCATAGGATGGGGAGGAGAGTGGTGATGTGTTTAAAATCAGGTGGGAGAAAACTTCTGTTAAAAGATACTTTTAAGTCAAAAAGAGAGTGAGAAAAAAGATTGATATAGCTTCTACAGTAGGGAACTTCAGTGGTACTGAAACTGCAAGAAAGAAAAAAGAAATCTAACTGCTCCCTCACTAGCTTCCATATTTCTGAAGCTTTTACAGTACAAACAAATCCTGTTAAGAAGTGATAACAGCAGTAAACATGTCAGAAATCTGATCCCTAGATAAAAAAGGGAAGTTTGAAGAAGCAAAACAGCAGGAAAGCAGGGCATCCAAAGCTGGAACTGCACTACACAAATGTGTATCAAGTATTATGCTGGACCCTGACATCAAGATGTCTCCACCAATGCAGTGCACATTTGTGTTGCATGTTTAATCATGGAAATTTCATTTCTACAAAAAAAAAAGAGAGAGGGAATCTATTGACTATTTTTTTTTCTCCTCTAGCTGTAGATATTTTTATCAAATTGATTTGTGATGTTCACTGTAGAGTACTCACTGGCACAGGAGCAAACAAGAAAACTGAAGGAAAAGAAAATAGAGTAGTTGCCCATAAATAAATTGAAGGATATCAATGTGAATGACAAATACAACTAATTTTAATTGCTTAAGCCCTTGTAAAAGAGAGTAGATATAGTCGCTATATTTATAAATTGAGAAGCTGTTGGCTGATGTGTTTAAAGTAATAAGCGGTCTGTACCAGAGTCAGGACTGACTCCTACCCAGTCTTCTGACAAAAGTTGAACAAGTATATATCAGAACTTTAAAGGGGTGCTTGAGCAAGGGAAAATGAAAAGAACCACCATCCTGAGATGCATCTTTAGCCATAAAAAAAAGACTTCAGCATTCTGTTTCATTTTGACCTGCAGGCATTGATGGACCAGCTGCTTTCCTGAAAACAGAAATGCAAGATTTGGGAACCAAGCTCCAAACTCTCTCTGCTGGATCTTCCAAAACAGAACACAATGCAGATCAGGAAAATGATAGAGAGGCTCTAACAGACCTAGCAGGCAAGCCAGATCTGCAAGAAATCTTACAGAAACGAGGTAAGAGTTAATAGTGGGCAAAGATCTTTTTCAAGGTTCTTCTACTTCTTATAATTTTTTTTCAGTAGCATTAAAAAACAAAAAGAGGAATCATAAAATAAATGTCTGTTGGACATTACTTTTAAATGTAGAAATGTGGAACTGCAGTTTCTGCTACTGATATTAATTGGAACATACCAGTTGTGTTTTAAAGATGTATCAATATGCCGTCTAATTTCTGGCCTTTCTCAGGAAGTTGGTGGCAAAGTATGGTTGGTGACTGCTATATTTCACGTTTTGCTGAAGTTCAGGATATTTTTATTCCAGATATATTATATCTGGATATGATGCTTGAATATTTTCACAACAGCAAAACCCTCTATAGCCAGTAAATGCTGTAATTTGGCTGTTTAGGAGACTAACAGGAAAGGTGTTCTTCCTGAGTCAGAGGCTGTCACAATCAACAGTTTTACCCATTGAGTAGTTTCCCAGTGGAGTGGCCATCTCTGTCTGCCAAGTATCTTATATTGCTGCCAGCAGCACAGGAAACTTTGCAGCAAAAGAATGGCTAGTGTTTAATATGGTACACAGAATGTTCTTCTTTTGCAGACCCTGTCTCCCATAAAGTTTACAGTACACATTATGTATTCAGGTACTACCATATGTAGAAATACTTCCATTCAGTTGTCAGATGTAACAGCAGCTTGCCTATGGATAACAACATTACACAGGAGTTAGGAAAGGAAGCAGGAGAGAATATCCAGAAACTTCAGGGGAAATCAGTGGGGGTAGAATATAAATAGTGAATTTTGAACTTGGCCGGAGTACTAGGGTTAACACCTTTCCTCTTCTAAATGTGCTTTGGGAAGTTTGCTGACAGGTTCTTAAGACTACATTTTTCTGTTTCATCTGAAAGAAAAAGCTTCTAGCAGTGCCCCTTCTATGCAGTGCTGGGTTGGAGCTTTGTTATAATATTGGCTCACAGAAAATAATTCATCTTAGCAGACTAAGTGTGCTCATTTTCTACAGTGCTTTCTGTGCTTTTCCATTCTACAGCCAAATCAAATAATGGCATCACAGAACAAAATGATGTAGTTCCAAGTAGAAGGAAATGCCTGTGATGTGTACAGAAGCTCTTTATAAATGTCTTTATCCAGAGTTATTTTAGGTATATACCCACAGTCATCTCTACATGGCTGTGCTTAGATTAAATAAATAAATGCTGAACTACACACTCTGTGCTTCCGTTTTAAAAATCAAATCATTAGTAGTATTCATGAGACCTGAGTTATTGCTACTGATGTCACAATAGGAGGGGCTCTTACCAAAAAATTATCACACTCCCCTTCAATGTGTATAAGACTAAAGGGAAATGGCAAAGGATGTAAACAGTACTGAGTCCAACTTACAGGGTAGGTGTCAGTATATTGATCTGGATTTCCTTTGTTTTTTATTCTTCAGACATGGTGGGTATTTGCATGAAAATAGGCAAAGTTAATTGAATGACAGCATATGCTAAGGAATATGTTACATCGTGTAATATGATGTAAAGTATGTATTAATTAAAGCCTGACAGCTGCTTAATCATCTGTACAGTGACAGCTGCAAAATGTCACCAGGGGTTTGAATTACAAGGCTCAAGGAGCAATATGGCACATGAAGAAAATCAGCAGCTGAAACAACAGAAATTAGTTAAAAGAGGGAGAGCAGAATAGCTATGCAAGAGCCATATATGAATTAGTGATGCCATGAACTCATGACACCTTTGTTCAGGGGTTTCCTGCTTGATCCTATATTCTGACAGGAATTTCAGGCAGTTTGAATTTTGATGAGGAGGACACAGAAGAGGAAGAAGCTAGTAAGAGACCAGCATCTCATTCACCTGACTCTGAGAGGCCTAGATCTGCAACCAGTGAGAAATCTTTTGCAGTAAGTGTCTTGAAATCCATTTCTGACAAGAGCTGGGCACATGTTTGATTTTTGTACTAACCCTTTGAGCACTGGGTTAAATACAGTAATTGCAGCTACAGTAGCTATCGTATTAATCCCTGAAGGCAGAGGAAGGTCATGGTTGTCAGGTTATCTGCTTGAAGGGCCATTGAGTTAAACACAAGACCTAGTGATGATCAAAGGAACAATGGTGGGTGGAGGAACCCAAGTAGCCTTATCAATGAGGATGGGGGAAGCACAATGAGTCAGCTACTCCTGTGGCCTTCAAAGGAGACAGATTAGGCCATTGTCTCTGGTGTAAAATCCACCAAGATGACTCAGAGAAACTCTGAAATGCCATGCAAACTTAAGAGGGACTACTGCCTGAAGGTTTATAACATTTAGTGTGGGATGCAAGGGGGAACAGAGTTTTGGGTTGGAACAGAGAATTTTGTGATTGGGCAAAATTTTTAACGGACCATCTCCCAAGGGACACCCCCAATCATGGACAAAATTTTTAACATAGGTTTAGGGGAAGGGACTCAAGGGAAAAGAAAGGGATCCAGGTGGATCAGGGAGTAATAAGCATGGGAAAATAGAGAGTAAAGGGGGTAAAAGGCACTAGATGCATGTGAAGACTTGCACCAGCTGCAGGACACTATGCTTGTCTGGCCAAACCTTGTGCCTGATTACTTCAGCGTGTCCTACCACCTTCTAAAGCTCTGTCTCAAACTATTTCCTGTGTGAATGTGTTCTCCTGTGCATATTTGTGTGTGAGATACATACATACATACATACATACATAAACTGGTGAACTATATGCTGGACTACCCAGCCAGTTGGAAGAGACCAGCATGAGGAAAACCCAGGGTCTGAGTTAGTGACCAGATAAAGTGCTTAGGATTTGGGCATGGATGGTGGACAGCCCTAAAAGTCCATGAGGTGACTGTGTGTATGGTGTGCTGCACTAGTAGGTGAGTAGTACAAGAGGTCTGGGTGGGAGCTACCTGGGAGACCAGGCTGTGGGTGCCAACTGCTGGAGATGTGGGGTGGGAGGTGCTGGAGATGGGAGGGGTGAGAGCCACTAGTGAATTCCAAGTCTGTGTGTGTGTCTCTGTGCTTATTCACTCAGACTTCCTAGTGGCTGTACCTGGGAATGGGGATAAACCAGCAGCCTCATCTCCAAGGTCCAGTAAAGGAGGAATCTCCTAGCTTCTACAATCCATAGGACTCGGCTACCTTTAAGAAAAAAATTATTTTAATGACCTTTACCAGTTTTCCATTAGATTCCCAGTTCCTTTGGTGACCATCACTTGTATCCTGACTGTACACATTGTTCTAAGGTTCTTCCAGAACTCAGCTGAGATGGTTCCACTCTCAGCTTTCTGCTGCTGTTCTGAACTACCATCTCAGTTCTCATTTCAGTCAAAAACCATCCCAGCCTGTCTTCTGCAGCGTCCATCAGTCCAGTTTGTCACCCTGCCTTATTTCCCACAGAGTGTCTGAAGTTGTAAAAGCAGAGAGGCTCTGTGCTTAGACTATTTACAGTGTCTCATTGCATTTTTGCCTTCCTGAAGTGCAATTCACTCATCCCTAGTTAATGGGTACTTCCCCCCCACCCCCTAGGGATAGTTTTTCCTTAAAGTTAAAGTCTTCAGCCTCTTTCCTCAGATAAATACAGGTGGTGTCTTGTTTGACTTCCCTTTCCCAAATAACTTCTTGAGACATGAGATCTTCAGGTTCAACAGGCCTTTCTTTTCTTGGGGAATACCAGAGCCTCCGACCTGATATTAATTTGCTAATATGATGGTTCTTCCCACAGGAAACAGGTGCTTCCTGTAGTCCAACCCCTCAGGCAGATGCACAGCTGGGAGAAGTAGAGAACTTGGAGGATTTTGCGTTACGCCCTGCACCCCGTGGTATTACAGTCAAGTGTCGAATCACTAGAGATAAGAAGGGAATGGACCGGGGCCTCTTCCCTACTTATTACATGCATCTGGAAAGGGATGACAACAGAAAGGTATTGGAAACAGAACACAGTATCTTGGCTATTGTACTCCTACCACAAAACATTTTTGGTATAAGGGAGAGCTGCTGAGCTTCTGGTAAGAAACCAGAAGCTGAGGAGAGCCAGTATGCAAATGGAAGACACCTTATATTTGGCCAAGGCACTAAGGAGGGAATTGGCAGGTTTAAAAGCCATAGTACAATGAAAAATGAAATTTAAGAAGTATAAAAATATCATGGGTAAAGAAGAGTGGGGAGACTGAGCTGCTCCAGAAGGAGGGATGACTAGAAAAGACAGTTGCATTAAATCTGGACTGCCAAGTGATTGGAGGAATAGGATTTCAGGGTGCGCACTTGTGGAAGAGATCAAAATTATGGAGAAGCAATTATAATTATTATAATATAATAACAGCACAGAACAAAAAAGAGAGAAGGCTATGGGAAATTGAGTGATAACAGTTTGGAGAGTAATGCCTAGCAATGCCTCTGCATTCTTGCAAAATTCCAGTCTTGATCAAAGTTTTGTATTTCCAGACATTCCTTCTTGCAGGGAGAAAACGAAAAAAGAGCAAAACATCCAATTACCTCATATCAGTTGACCCAACTGATTTATCCCGGGAAGGGGAAAGCTTCATTGGAAAACTCAGGTGAGAACCACGGATGAAAACTACGGACAGGAGAGATTGGATGTTCATTTTAGTCGGGCTTGAGTTATGAATAGCAATCTGGTGTTGGTTCAGAGAGAATGCACTTGCGTTGTCCGTTCAGGGAGAATGAACTCCCATCATCCTGCTGGATGTCATCTGCATTCACCTGGGTTGCCAACCCTTCGTCAGCGTCACCATTCACCGTGGCAGTTCAGAGAAGGAATTCTGGCTTGGTGCTTTTCCAGGGAAGGTTAAAGGCTCAGCCCACCATAGACACTTTGCAGAAGCTCCTTACTGAGCTGGCAATAGGAAGATTCAGATGGCAGGAGGTGTGTGTTTTCACTGTGCTGTGCAAATACCTTCAGAAGATGACAAAACTTCTGTTGATGCCTCTCTCTTTCTCTGTCTTTCTGTAACCTGACCTTAGGTCAAACCTCATGGGAACTAAATTTACAGTCTATGACCATGGAGTTAGCCCAGTCAAGGCACGAAATGTAGTGGAAAAGGCTGATATGAGACAGGAGCTTGCAGCTATTTGTTATGTAAGTAGTGCCTCTTCCCTTTTGCCCCTTTCTTTTTTTTTGTTGCCTGGTTGCTGAGGAAGCAGGGCTTACAAAGTCCTGCTGCCTGGCAGCCTCCCCCAATTCACTTTGGAACCAACTGAACGATTTCAACCGGACACAGCAAAGGGCAGAGGCCTCAAAGATAAGTTCTTACAAGTTTAATGAAAAAAAAAAAATTTAAAAAAATCGATGCCAGGGAGGGAGAGAGACCCAAACTAACATCCATGATGTTACCTGGCCCATCATTTGACGTGGCCAGTCAGCACATCCTTTGCATGGAGCCAGCCACAGCGTGAACAGCCTCTTGCTCAGCTGGTACCTGGTGGACACTAAGAAGGAACCGGGAGTACCCTGTGAAGTAGAGTTATTTTTTGCAGAACCAAAGGCATTTTGGTGGGTAGGAAGAGCTGATATTATTTCAGTAGCTGCTTGTTGTTGGTAAGGATATGGTTCCAGGGCAAATCATGATTCACTAGCTCTGTCCTGGAGATGTTCTCTTCTCCTGGTCTTGTGGATCACCTTGTTCTAGGCTTCTGAGTGAAGAGGCATTTGTGGCCACTCCAGAATTATGTAAAGGGTTATCATTTCACATTGTTTCATATTCCAGTCCTAAAGTTGAAAATGAGTACAGCAGATAACATCAAGTTAGCTGCTCAGATTTCTGAATTTCTAAGTTTCATAAAGTTTATATATAAATGAAATCATATATCATATGTGCCCCTGGATTTTCTGAACTGAAATAACAAAGGTTGCAGCTCCAAAGACCTTTGTTCTGTGACTGCAAAATGCACTAGAATGTTAGGAGAAGCTGTATCACTTCTATCAATCAATTCAGTACTTCTAAAAGATTCTGGCATTTTAATTGGTCTTTGGGAATTTTAAAGGTTATCACTGACATTGTTAGCAAATGCTTTAAATGGACCCTTGGATTTTGGTTGGCACTATTAAATGGATGGTTTGAGAATGCCAGGATTTTTTCCTGTGCTTTTTATACTCAATCACTTGG